CCTGGCAGACCCTGGCGGCTGGACGGCCGCGCGTCAGGAGTGGAATAGCTCCCCGACGCTGCAGACGGGCCCATGAACAAGGCCTGAGCGCGACAGCTTCTGGGGAACGTCCCAGTACTCTCTCGTGGCAGCCGTCAGCTGCTCCCTGGTTTATGTTACAACTCTGGCAGCCGTCAGCTGCGCCCCTGGTAACATGGGCATAGTCGCAGGCACAGCGCTGCCGACGGGCCACCGACACGGGGACCCGCAGGACGACAGTAGACAGAGCTGCCCGATGGGAAGCTCAGCTCGCGCAACGCCCTGGAGCGGGGATGCTCGGGGGCAGCACAGCCCTGGCAGTGGGTGGCAGGCGCTGAACATCGACTCCCCGCCCAGTCCCACCTCTCCGAGCTAGTAGTGCCCCCGCGCGCTCCACTGGACTTGTACTTCCATGCGAATCCGCGCGGCTGGCCCCCGCCTCTCTCCCTTTCTTCTCTCCTGGCGCCGGGGGTCCCTGGCGGGCCCCTTCCACGTGGCTGGCCGGCGACGTCTGCCCCCGCCGCCCCCGCCACAGGAGGGCCCCGCACGGGCAGGGCGGCTTGCCATGGACCCCGTGGCCCTGCATCGCAATGCGGGCGATCGCCCCCCGGCGCCGTCGCCCCCTGGCGCCCGCCCTCCCGGCCGCGCTGGCGACGTCCATTCCCGCAAGTCAGGCTTGCCCTCCGCGCAATACGCGGTTCTCTACGGCGCTCACGTCGTGACTCTGGGCAGGGCCCACAGGCGCTGTCGCCTCCCGGGCTGGGTCGATGCTATTTGCTCGGGGTCGGTCCAGCCATCCTGCGGACGCTGCGCTTCCATCCTCGACCCGCCCCAGCCGACCAGGCAGGTCTACGCCGTCGACACGGCCCTGGCCCTTGGCGCCCTCAGGCGACGTGACCAGCATGTACCTGGCCCTTGCTACAGTGTTTGTGCGGATAGTGCTCTCTGACTCGGCATGGCGCCTACGCCGTGATGGACTGGCGCCGCGGCGTGCAGTTGGGAATTCCCTGGCACTTTGCCACAAGTCTGCATGGTGCTCGAGCTTCCTGGGCGTTGCAATTCAGCCAGTCAGCCCCCGCCGCCGCTGCCGCAGCTGCTGTCTCTGAGGGCAGGCCCGGCCGGCTTGCGCTGCGCCTTGTAGCTGATTAAGCTTGCCCGTTGCCCCGGACTTCCTTTCGCCGCCTGCCGTCTTCTGCGCGGCTGCGACCAAAAAAGTATCCTCACCAGCTCCTCTTGGCTGCGGCCACCTCGGCACTCTCGCAGTTGTCCGGGGCCTCGCGCCCTTGCATTAAGCACTCGGCTTCTGTCCCTGGTCGTCGTTCTTCCCGCCTACCTGGAGCTTCCGACGCCGTGCGTGCCTGCGCGCTGGCAGCGCGACTCCGCTCGCCGGTCCGCCGCTGAGGTGCTGCGCGAGGCCCCGCTTAGCCGCTTTAGGTGAGGCTGCCCTCCGCTGCTTTAGGTGCATTTGTCACTGCGTGCCCCGCTTTGACTGGACTCGCCGCTGGCGCGCTCGCCCACGGCCGCTGAATAAAAAGTACACTCGCCAGCCCATCCAGAAACGATGTCCAGAGGAGTCGCCTCGATCAGGGCAGTGTGCAGCACTCAGAGGAAGGGCTCCTTAGTGGAGGCTTCTTGGAGCGTCTTGGGAGCCTCTTGGCGGTCCCGGAGGCTTCTTGGAGCGTCTTGGGCGTCTCGGGGAGCTTTTTGGGGCCTCTTGGGGGTCTCGCGCGGGCCGCTTGGGGACCTTGGGCGTTTCTTGGGGCCTCCTGGGCGCTTCTTGGGGCGCTCTTGGGGCGCTCTCGGGAGCTCTAGGGGCGCTCTTCGGACCATTTTGGAGGGCGTCGATAAAACGAGAGGGGGGCTTCAATTAGCGCCCCCTTCGGGAGTTCCAAACATAGCCTCTTGGGGCGCTCTTGTAGCGCTCTTGGATACAACAGCAACCTTCCCGTACCCAGAACGTCGAACCTGCCCCCGCCCTTCCTGCTGGCCAGAACCAGTGGGCCACTTCAGATTCCCAGCCGTCTCCAAGCAGAGGAGCAAAAACCTACATCAACAGATGGGTTTAGGGCATAGGGGGTTTAGGGCTATCCGGGGAGACTGCGCCGAGCGCAGTCTCCCCATATGTGCATCGCCGCGCATTGGCATTTCCGCCGTGGATGTCGAGGCGCAAGGAACTTCGAAAATAAACGAGCTTGGATATTGACAGCTTGAGCGAGAGGAGAGAGAGAGAGAGAGAGAGAGAGAGAGAGAAAAAACAATAAAGAGAGAGAGAGAGATAAGAAAAAATAGAGAGAGAGAGAGAGAGAGAGTGAGAGAGAGAGAGAGAGAGAGTCTAACTGTGAATGAATTTGAGTGCGCGTGAGTCCCGGGAGTCTATGCGCGCGAGCCTGCGCATGGCTACGCTTAGGGTGAGAGCGCCTGCACGTCAGTGGCTCTCCTGGCTCCACCCAAATGGCGGGGGTGTCTCAGGCGGTCTGCCTGTTTGCATCCTCCGCTTTCGGAGCAGATTCTGAGGATGTCTCGAGCGAGGCGCCGGTTTTCGCGCGCGTGGGGGGGGGGGGGGGGGGGGGGGGGGGGGCCAGGGGGTTTATCATTTTTCCGCCCGCGCCCAAACGGCGGGAATATCTCAGGCGGTTCGCCTGTTTGCATGCTCAACATCCTCCGCTTTCTGGGCAGATCCTGAGGATATCTCAGGCGAGGCGCTGGTTTTCACGCAAATGGGGGGGCCGCCAGGGGGCATCTCACTTTTCCAGGCCGCTCCGTTCTCCAACGGGCATTTGGCTGCAGGTCGACGGCTTCGAACAAGCCCCCACGTGGGCGGAGTTCATGGGATGCGTGGACCACAAAGATAAGGATGCAAAGGGGAAGGTGGCTCGTGGTCTTCTCTGCGTGCTTCTTATGGAGGCCGCCTTCGCCTGAGATGCGTCGGCCGCGGCGCTCAGCGCAAAGCGCTGCGGCCTCGTGCTGTCGCGCGCCCACGACTTGACGACGACTGCGTCGCAGGGGCAGGCGATGCGAAACGCAGTGACCATCGGCTGCGCCCGCCAGGGGCCCCAGGGGCAGCGCGGCGCTGACGACGACGCACAGTGACTGAACCTCTACGTGCTGTTCTCCTGCGCCACCTAGATGAAGGACGCGCTGCTGGCGCGGCCGCCCCCCCGTTTGCCGTTGGAAAGAAGTCTTCTGAAGTCGGTGAAGGAGGCCCTCACATGCTTCCAGGAGGAGGGTTTCATAGTGGAGAGAGCTGCCTTGCTTACCGAGCAATATGGGATGGCGCTGCCACAAAAACAGGGGCTGCCTGAGCCCCCATGCGGCCCGATGCCAAGTGCGGACGGCGTTTTGTTTGCAGCCCCCCGCGCGTCAAGCCGCGCGCTGCGCGACGACGCCAAGTGTAGGCAGGCGCCTGATTCGTCGGCCCGATGCCAAGCGCGGACGGTCTGACCCGACGGCGCCCGTCGATCTGGGCGCGCGCGGGTCTTGCTCTGGCCGCCAGACGAACGACCCTCACTCCTTCCCCTCCTCTCCCCCCCCCCGTCTGCTTTGCCAGCGGGGGGGCGATGGCGTGTCGCGTGAGATGTTTGCGCGAGCCACTGCTGCGGGTCTCGCACGGCGTCTACATGGAGGAAGGGATCGCGTAGCCATACTCAGACTCACGCGCGTAGCCCAGGAAGTCCCAAGAGGCCCCAGGAGGACTCAGCCACGCTCAGTTATGCTCAGGCCGCTGACGCGCAGACACTCTCACCCTAAGCTCAGCCACGCGCAGGCCCATGGGCTTAGGCTTACTCGCGCCACTGGGCCTCGTGCGCACTCAACCCTATTCGCGGTCAGAGTCACTCCCAGGCTGTCACTACTCAAGTTCCGTAAAAATCGGAGATTCTTGCGCTTATCCACGCATAGCGGACATGTCGACGCAAGGAGATGCACATATGGGGAGCTCCACGCAGGGAATAAATTATGTGTAGCCCAAGATCGGCCTGTAGGGGGACAGGCCCGACCTAAAGCGAGGAGGGGAGAGGGGGGGGGGTGGGGGAAGGGGCAGCCCCCCCCCCTTCCGGCCTTCGCCGCGACGGCCTCGCCGCGACGGCAGCCCTTCCCCCCGTTCCCCCTCAGCTGCCCTGATACGCCCCTTCTGAAACGAACTCGTGCCGTGTTGAAAACGTCCGTGCTAAAACGCTGACGTACCGCTCGCACCCGACGTACGTCTTCAGTCTACGTGTTGAATTTCGTATCCACACGCTACGTGTTGCGCGTTGCGTATCGGGGCGGCTAAGGAGATGTTTGAGAAAGGGGCAGCCCCCCTTTCGGCAATCGCCGCGACGGCCTCGCCGCGAGGGCAGCCCGTCCCCCCTCTCCCCCCTCTGCGTCGGGGATCGACTACATAATCGGTTTGCCCCCAAATTGTTTTTCTCATCGGGTCCATTGAACAAAACGTGGGGCGCTCGTAGATTTACGAACTGTCTGCGTATTTGTTTGGTAGATTCGGTGGGGCAATTCAAATTGAGGGTTACCAGGTAAATCAACTCTGCAATCGATCCCCAATTCGACCGTTCTCTCGGGCCCGCGCGCTCCGGGAACAGGGCGGCGGGCCTTCGCCCGACAGGGCCGGGACGAGGACGCATCCGTTACAAGGCGTTCCAGGACGCTTTCGGAGCGTTGCGGAACGATTTTGGGAGGCCGCGGCGCCCGAGACGTCCTCGGGAACCGCGTGACCTCCTAGATTCTCGATATAGCTTCCTCCGAATTGATCTTTGTCCTGGCTTTAGGTCGGGCCTGCCCGTCCCCCAACAGGGGGATTTTGGGTGAAAAAAATGTAAGAACACCCAAGAAATATTCAAACACAGTCAAAAATAGTCAAAACATCATCCCCAATCAATTTTTTTGGCAATTCTTCCATATTCCTCGTGTAGACGGACAGGCCCGACTTAGTCTTGGTTTCGTTGTATACTTCGCCGAGCCCACCGCGCCGCCACCGTCCCAGCGCGATGGGGGAGTCGGAGCGGGCCGCGGGGGGCGCGCGGCGGAGGGCGCTCGCGAGAGCTCGGTGCACGGCTCCGCCCTCGTGCTCCTCGTCCTCCTCCTCGTCCTCCTCCTCCTCCTCCTCCTTCTCCTCCTCTCTCTCTCCTCCCTCCTCCTCCTCTCCTCTCCTCTCCTCTCCTCCTCTCCTCCTCCCTCCTCTCTCTCTCACCTCTCCTCCTCCTCCTCCTCCTCCTCCTCCTCCTCCTCCTCCTCCTCCCGCTCCGCTCCTCCGCTCCTCCCGTCTCCCACAGTTTTCGGCGGCGAGAACGGGGGGGGAAGTGAGAAGGAGACTCTCGGGGACTGCTCAGAAGCCCTCGCGCCTTCGGGGGAAGGCTTAGACATCTCCTCAAAAAGGCCGGGGGGCTTCCGAAGCTTCTGAGGAGGCCTTCTCCTTTTCACCTCCCCCCCTCGCTCGCCGCCGATACTCGGCTCCGCCCTTGTCCTTCTCGTCCTCGCGCTTGTTCGAGTAGGAGATCGACTACAGAATGGATCCACCCCAAAATAGGACTTCTCGTCGAATCGATCAGCAAATGCGAATACTGTTAGCAAGTCTACAACCATTCTGCGTATTGTCCCGTAGGTTCGACGAGGCAATGAATTCTGGGGTAAATCAATCATGTAGTCGATCTCCTACTCGACTCGTTCTCCTGGCCTTCCACTTTCGAGCGACGGGAGACGGGGGCTCGACTGCGCGGACGTTTGCGTGCAAGCTGCCCGCGTAAGGTCGCGCGTGAACGCCCTCGTTTCCAGTGCAGTGTGCCGCGCTGGCGACCCACGTAAGCCGCGGCGTAAGGTAGTTATGTCCTCTCGCGTGGGACCTGCATCTGTTTGTCGCCCACTCGTGTTTGTTCCCCACATCCTAAGTGGGGTTGTTGTTTTCTCTGCACGCCTCCGCGCAGGATCTCCTCCCCCCTCCCCCCAGCTCTTCCACCTCATCAGCGTCACTAGCGTCATCATAATTTCTCACCGCTCACATTCGCTGACACACTCATCACCATAACCACCACGACTATCATCATCAGCATCATCAGCAGCATCATCATCAGCATCTTCACCGTCATCGTCATCGCTATCATTGTCATCATCATCATCATCATCATCAGCAGCATCATCATCATTAGCATCAGCATCATCATTAGCATCATCATCATCAGCAGGAGCAGCATTATCACCATCAGCATCACCGCCACCATCACCATTTATTCACCATCATCAATCAATCACCATTCACCATCACTCACCATCACCATCACTCTCATCACATATTCATCACTATCACCATACCATCGTGTTTCAGGCGGGAGCCCCCTTCCCTGTGGGGCCCGCACTTCATGTTGGTAATCCGAGCTGGTCATCGGGAACCTGTAACTGTCGAGCCCGTTTTTTGATTGCTTGGGGCATGACGGGCGTCAAGGCCCCCGCTCCCCCCTCCCTCCTATGACGTAACGATCCCCCCCCCCCCAGTGCGCTCCGGGGATTGCCGCCGTGCGCATTGGGATCCGCGTGGGAATCTGCATAGGAGTCTGCTCCGCAGTCGTCGTCGTTGTCGTCGTTGCTCGTCGCTCGTCGCTCGTCGTCGTCGTGCGCGCGGACGCGGCTGGAGCCTGTTTTTTATGCCGGGCCGATGACGGCAATCATCAGGGGGGGGAGGGGGTCGATGACGTCACGTTTCGCGCCGGAGGCGTCCGGGAACGCTTAGGAACGACGGAGGCCGGGTAGCACCAGCATGTAGGTGGCGATCTGCGCCACAACGCTGGTCTGTGTACACCACAGTGCCTGCGTGCACCACAGCGCCTGTGTACACCTCACCGCCTATGTACACGACAGCAGCCGCGTGCAACACAACGTCAGTTTGTGCCACCGTGCCTGCGGGGACAGCATCTGTTGTGTACACCACAGCGCCTGCGTACACCACATCAGCCGTGCGCAACACAGCACCTGTGTACACAATGCCTGCGTGAATTGCAGTGCCCGTGTACACAACGGCGCCTGTGTGCACCAAAGCAAGCGTGTGCAACACTGCTTCACTGTTGTATATAGAACGTTAGACGGAACCCTTACGTCAAAATGGAACGCTTGTGGATTCCACGAACAACAATATAATGGACTCCTCATGGACAAGGGAGCGCCGCTGGAATCAACGAGTCCTCCCGAGTCCGCCCGCATCACCCTAATTCCTCCCACCTGCGTCCAGGAGGCTCCAGCTAAGTTGGAAATCCGAGAACCAAGCGTACCAATTCAATAGACCATTCTGTGGTGCACGCTGAGATGCGCACGTGCGCTGTAGCGCCAAACCGCACGACAGGGGGTAAGGAGGAGGAGGAGGAGGAGGAAGTGGAGGTGGAGGGGGAGGAGGGAAGAACGTCGCATTCGATTATCATCACTTTCCTGGCGTGGCTTTTGGTTGTCTGCAGCAGATCCTCACGTACATGCTCCTTCTACCTGTCCTATGCACGCAGGGACTGTGGTGTACACCAGCGCTGCGTTGCACGCGGATGTTGTGGTGTAGACAGGCGCTGTGGCGTGCACAGGCGCTGCGGTGCACGCAAGCATTGTGGTGTACACAGGCGCTGTGTTGCACATGGTTGCTGCGGAGTACGCATGTACACCAGCGCTCTAGTGTACGCAAGCACTGTGGTGTACACAGGCGCTGCGTTGCCCACGGTTGTTGCGGAGTACGCAGGCGCTGTGGTGTACATGCGCGTTGAGGTGCACGCGAGCGTTGTGGTTCACACAGGCGCAGTGGGGCAGATCGCTACCTACATGCTGCTCGCGTCGTCCTCGTCCTCGTCCTCGTCGCTCGTCGCTCGTCGCTCGTCGTTCGTCGCTCGTCGCTCGTCGCGTCGTGCGCGCGGGCGCGGCTGTGGTGCCGGAGGGGGGGGGGCGTAATCCGAGCGGGTCATTGGAAAATTGTCACTGTAATCTTTTTTGCGGCTCTTCTGGATCGAGTATGGAGGAAGTCTCGGAGGGAGCTTCTTCTGTGAGTGGATTGCGATTGAGTGGATCGTTGTTTCGGGGACGCAAATTTGATGCAATTTGCATAGGATCGTGGCCTCGGGGCATGAGCGCAGGGTGATTTACACGGGGATTTTGCGTCGGGAGCGCGAATCTCATGTATCTTTACGTGTCCCACGGCCCGGCAGGAATTCAGACAAAGCGATTCGGAGAGGGTAGCCGGACGCTTTTCAGCTCCCCGCCCTCGCCGGACTCTAATAACTTACACTTGGAAGCAGAAAGCAGGAATGTAACCCTGATGACTGGAACTTGCAACTGGCGAAGAACAGCAAACCTGACCGTCGCAGCCTGATGGCCCCACGGGGGAGCCGGTGGATTAACAGCACGGGTGTGCTGGTCGACGAGTTGTTCAAGCGGCGCGAGTATTCTAATGAATTACGTGCGAGAAATAGGCGAGGACGGCAACAGAACCCGCTGGCATGGACTACATGATCATGTCGGTTCTGGGCAAGAACATGCATGTCGTTCTTGAAATCGTGAACATTGAATCAGACTCTACAGTTGCAATATACACTTGTCCTGGTTCGAGACCAACGGCAGGTCCGGCGAAGAAATCGTTCAAACTTGGGTGACTTCCTGGGGACGGACTGAAAGGGTACAGAGGCGTCTTCATGGCAGATGCTCGCTCTGCGGTCCAAGCTGAGCACGTGGCGGCAAATTTGGTGATAGGGTTTGCCTGGTAAGTTAGGCCGTTGACACATGTATCGATGAGGTAATCTGGAGAAGGGCATCAAGCAGGGGAAACACGAAAAAGGTAGGAGGAGGAGGAGATGGAGGCGGAGGAGGAGGAGGAGGAGGAGGACGAGGAGGGCGAGGAGGAGTAGGAGGAGGAGGGCGCGGAGGCCTCGACCTGGACCCGCCCGCAAAGGAGGCGTCAGGAGCAGGAGGAGCAGGAGGCGCCTCCTCGCCGCCCGCACGCGCTTCCCCCGTCGGCAGGCCGTGCATCGGCCTGCCGAGGAAGCGCGGGGTCGCGTCCCTCTTCTGCTTCTCCATCGTGGAGGGGACAGGCCCTGGGCCGCCCGGAGGTTTGCGGCCGGGAGGGAGGTGTTTGAATTCTAGAGGCGGCACCCTCACCCACCCTCCACGTGTGCCGATACAGCATCCGAAGGAGGTTCTCACCTCAGCGAAACCTCGGACGAAAACGCACTGCACTTTCAAAAAATGCAGGAGGCCGGGGTGGGCTGGGGTGGGGGGGCAGGGATGGGGAACGGGAGCAGAGAGGGGGGGGGGGGCAGCAGATGGGATGCAGGGGGGGGGGATGGGCGCTGTGCGGCAGCAGGAGGAGGCAGAGTGCGAGGAGGAGGAGGAGGATCAGGAGGGAAAGGGATAGAAAGAGGGAGAGAGAGAGAGAGACATTGTGAGAGGGAGAGAGAAACAGTGAGAGAGGGGGAGAGTGTGAGAGAGAGAGAGAGATAGAGAAAGAGAGAGAGAGAGAGACAGATATAACAACAACAAAAACGACATGTACGAGTGGGCAAAGTGGGAGGCGGGAGTGCGAGGAGCAGGAGAGTGGGGCAGAGTAAGATGGGGAGGGGAAGGATGCTGATGAGGGAAGAAGAGGAGAAGTGACAGGAGGCGGAGGAGGAAGAGGAGAATATGTGATAGGAACACACGTAGTAATACTGATAGGAGTAGAAGGAGGAATACGGACAAGATCGGGAATAGAAATAGGAATAGGAACATTAACAGAAATAGGAAAAGGGACAGGAATAGGAACAGGAGTAGGAATAGGAATAGGAATAGGAATAGGAAGAGGAAGAGGAAGAGGAAGAGAAGGAGGGCGACGAGGACGAGGACGAGAACGAGGAGGGAGAGGAGGAGAAGGATGAGGAAGAAGAGGAGCTCCCCCTCCTCTGCCAAAGGGGAAGGGGGGTTCGAACCTGGAGCCTCGAGTTGCAGTGGGGGGGTTCGAACGGGGGGCCCCCACAGGGGAGGGGGGGGGCTCAATCCAGAAGAGCCCCCTCTTCCCCTGCGACCGACGACGGCGAGCGCCGGCGCCGGCACTGGCGCCTTTGGGCAGCGACGACGAGGGCCCCCCCCCCCGTGCAACCGAGGATGGCGAGGGCCGGCGCTGGCGCTGGCGCCGTCGGGCAGCGACGGCGACGATGACGACGACGACGACCACGACGACGACCACGACGACGACAACGATGGCGAGGACATCGACGGCGGCGGCGGCGGCGGCGGCGACGACGACGACAATGACAGCGCGGGCGCAGTCGGGCAGCTCACACGACGACGACGACGGCGACGGCGACGGCGACGGCGACGGCGACGGCGACGGCGACGGCGAGGGCGACGACGACGGCGAGGATGACGATGACGACGACGATGGCGACGACGACGACGACGACGACGACGACGACGACGACGACGACGGCGACGGCGACAGCGACGGCGCCCCCCCTACGTTGCAGGTGGGGGCGGGTTCGAAACGGGGGGCCCCCCCTGCATCCGACGAAGGTGACGGCGACCGCGACGGCGACGGCGACGTCGAAAGCTACGGCGACGGCGAAAGCGACGGCGACAGCAGCTCCGGCTCCGGCGTCGGCGACGGCGACGGCGACGGCGACGACGACGACGACGACGGCGACGACGACGACGACGAGGGCTGTGGCGGCGGCGGCGACGACGACGACGGCGACAGCGACGGCGACGTCGAAAGCCTCGGCGACGGCGACAGCGACGGCGGCGGCAGCTCCAGCTCCGGCGTCGGCGACGGCGACGGCGACGGCGACGGCGAGGGCGACGACGACGACGACGGCGACGGCGACGGCGACGGCGACGGCGACGGCGACGGCGACGGCGACGGCGACGACGACGACGACGACGACGACGACGACGACAACGATGGCTGCGGCGGCGGCGACGGCGACGGCGACGGCGAAGGCGACTGCGACGGCGATGGCGACGGCGGCGGCGTCGACGGCGACGGCGACGGCGACGGCGATGACGACGACGACGACGACGACGACGCGCACAGGAGGGGGCGGGGGGAAGGAACCCCCCTTGCAACTCAGGGGGGAGGCTTGTCCTGGCAGTTGGACAGGGGGAAGGCCCCCCCAGTTCGAACCCCGCGCCCCCGCTTTGCAACTCGGAGGGGGGCCTCCCCCCCAGTTCGAACCCCCCCCCCCTTTTGGGCGGGGGGGGAGGCCGGTGTCCTGGGCCCCCCCCCCCGGTTCTTTGGTTTTCCAGAGGCCCTCGATGTTTTGGAGGGGGGCAGCTCCAACGTGTCAAGGTACTTCTTCCAGGCAAGCATCCACGAAACGCGTTTTTGTTGGTGTTTCACTCGCTCTCTCTCTATGTCTCTCTCTCTCTCTCTCTTTCTCTCGCTCTCACATGTATATACCTATACGACCACCCTTCGGGTGAAAAGGAGGTTGTGGGGGGGGGAGAGGGGGGGAACCAACATCTGACTCAATCGATCTCACTATCGATCTCACTCAACGGGACACCACGGGACACCACGGGACACTTGTCGACTATCGATTTCACTATCGATCTCACTCAACGGGACACCACGGGCCACCACAGGACACCACGGGACACCGCGGGACACCTCTCGATCTCACTATCGGTTTCATTATGGATCTCACTATTGATCTCACCCAACGGGACACCATAGGACACCACGGGACACCTCGGGACACCACATCGATCTCATTATCGATCTCACTACCGGAACACCATGGGGCACCACGGGACACTTGTCGATCTCACTATCGATCTCAGTACCGATCTCACTTTTTGGGACACCTCGGGGCACCACATCGATGTCACTATCGGTCTCACTATCGATCTCACTTTTTGGGACACCGAGGGGCACCACGGGACATCTCGGGGCACCACATTGATTTCAGTATTGATCTTATTGTCGATCTCACTATCGATCTCACTATCGATCTCACTCAACGGGACACCACGGGACACCACAGGACACCACAGGACACCGCGGGACACCGCGGGACACCATGGGACACCGCGGGATACCGCTGGGGCCATCGCCAGACGGACGGAGGAGAATCATTTGTTTTGATTTCGCCCTAGCGACGGCGGACACCACGGGACACCACGGGACAAGGCGGGACACCGCTAGGGCCACCGCCGTACGGACGGAGGATAATCATTTGTCTTGACTTCGCCCTAGCAACGGCGGTCTCATTCTTCTCGCGCGCCCACGCAGCTTCGCCTCGCCCGCACGCACGACACGAGCGAAACGAAACGAGTTCCCGGTTGGGGGTCTCCGTTCCATTGCGATCTCACCCCCCAACTTCCGATAGAGAAAGAGAGAGATGTGCGTGTGTGATTCACTGTATTGTGTACTCGGAAAAAACACAAATGTATGATAGCCTTTTTACCCATCCCGCCACCGTGCCTGGGTTACGGGTCAGAGTTCTCAGGGATGGTTCGTGGGGTCTCTTCGGAGCGCTCTCGGGGGCCTTTTGCCTATTGGGAGCATCTTAGATGCCTCTTGGGGGCCTCCTGCCTCTTGGGGCCTCCTGGGGGCCCGTCGGGGCCGAGGTCTCGAAAGGTCCGTTCGGGTCCCCAATCTGGGCCCACTCTTGGAGCCGTCTTTGCAGCCCCTTGGGCCATCTTGGACGCTTTTTGGGCCGTCTTGGAGCTCTCTTGGGCCATTTTGGGGCCCTCTGGGAGGCCTCTTGGGGCGATCTTGGGGGCCTCTTGGCCCGTCCGAAGAGGCGAGAGCACCGTACATTCAAAAACGGCACATTACATATTTTTGCTTCTCGGGGCCCTCTTGGGAGGCCTCTTCGAGGCTTCTTGAGGCGGGCACCTTGGGCCGTCTTGGGGCCATGGCGTCTTGGAACGATATTCCGGAGAGTCGTGGCCGTCTACGGGCCTCACGAGGCCATCTGGGTCCATCTTGGGGCCCTCTTGGCAGGCGGGAAGCCCCAGGAGATTCAGGAATTCGGGGTCCGCGCCCAATCAGCTTCTCAGGAGTGAGGGCTGAGGCTCGGGGGATTAGGCAAAGGACCTGAGGACACGCCCACTCCGTGCGTGCCCAGAGGGGCGTTGGCAGACCTTTTTTTAGGGGGGGTCTATCTATCTATCTTTCTATATATATATATATATATACATATATATGTGTGTGTATACACGCATATATATATATATATATATATATATATATGTGTGTATATATATATATATACACGCACATATGCGTAAGGGCTTCGCCCCCTGCCGCCGGCCCCCTCTCTCGGAGAATGGGCCACGGAGGAGCGAAGTCATGAGGCTTTGGCTTCGCTGTGAAGCAGTGTCGGGACCTGTTTGTTTTTCGACCCTGACCCTGCGGATCTGCGTGAGGGGTGCCGCCGAATTTCAGAAATCTGGCAAATTCCATGTGTTGTTGGACCCTGACCCTACGGATCTGCGTGAGGGGTGGCACCGAATTTCAAAAATGTGGCAAATCCCCTGTGTTTTTGGACCCTGACCCTGCCAATCTGCGTGACGGGTGCCGCCAGATTTCAGAAATGTGGCAAATCCGCTGTGTTCTTGGACCCTGACCCTGCCGATCTGCGTGAGGAGTGACACCGGATATTGTAGTGGCCTCTGGCCAGCGCCGTCGATCCGGGGCGCTCCTGATGCTATTATTGTTGAAATGGACGATGACGACAACAAGTGACGACCAACGGTCGACGAGCGGAATAACGACGACGGCGACCGACGAAGGAGTTAATGACGACGAACCGGCGACGACGACGCCGACGACGACGACGACGACGAAGACGACGACGACGACGACGACGACGACCACGACGAATGACGGCGAACGGCTGCCGACGGCCGACGACCGACGACTGGTGACGGCGACGGGTGGAAGGTTCTTCGTTCATCGCTTTCGCTTCCGAGCAATACCAAGTCAGGCCGTGCACCTCTGGCCTGGCAGCACGCGAGTGAGCGCCTCTTGGGGCCTCTTGGTTCTTGGGGCTTCTTGGGCCTTCGGGGCCTCTTGGGGGCCTCTCGGGGTCCTCTTGGGGGCCTCTTG